TAAGAAAAGAACAGGATTCAGAAAGAAAGAATATTGTGATTGACATGTATTTACTCCCTGTAACCCCTTGCGTACTAGTGGCAGTCTCGCCTTGCTTAGGGTGAAAAGTTAAAAAAAAATCTGTTTTGTTTTACGGCATATCAACCTCAATTTATTTAATGCCGACAAGCTTTTTATTGCTGGCAATATTTTTTTTTTCAAAAATATATTGCTGGCAATATTTTTTTTTCAAAAATATATTGCTGGCAATATTTTTTTAAAAAAAGATGTTTTACTGTAATATTTTATCCAAAAATATATTGCTGGTAATATTTTGTTTTTAGAAAATGTTCTGCTGGTAATAATGTATTGCTGGTAATAATTTTTCAAAAAAATATTGCTGCTATTAAAACCTATTTCATACTTTTTTAGTGTTTTGACCTCTTTGGAAGTAACTATTTGCTCATAGCTGGGACCCTGAAAGGTGCTACCACCCCAGGACAGGGTGGACCTGGGAACACCAGCAATTAAGAGTTGTTTCCACGCTCTTCATATCTCCTGGTCAGAGCCCTTACTGTCGATTGTATTTCATTGTCTTACCCAGGACGCGGATGTAGTTTATCGTCATATCCAGGACGGTCTACAATCTGTTGTTAACCGGGGCAAGGAATGGCTTGTCAGTTTTAACCCCCCCCCAAGACGAAACTGCTCTCTATTAATCATCTGAGAGAACTCTTTCTGCCTTCCATCATCATTGCTGATGCTAACGCCGGGAGAGTGACTCATTGCATCTTCTCGTACTAACGTTTTCCGCTGACATTAAGTAGAAAGATTATATTGAATCAATTGCCAAATCTATTGCTATCAAAACTTGTCCCCTGCGTCGTGCCTGTCGACAATGTTTCTCGCCCGAATCCATCTTACATATTTGTGAGTCTATCATTCGTCCGTGCCTTGAATATTGCTGCCACATCTAGTTTGGAGCCTTTGCTATATATATATATATATATATATATATATATATATATATATATAGATCTTTGATAAAGTCCAAAAGAAGAATCAGCAATGTTATTGGTCCTGACCCGGCATTTCAGCTTCAATTCATTTTCTAATCGCCATAATATAGCTTTCCTGTGTTTCCTCTAGACGTTATGAATTTAAGCCGGTTTGCGACTATGGCCAAGTGGATTAAAGGGTCGATTCGAGACTATGAAACAGTGGATTAAATCATTCGTTCGGGAAATGGCCTAGTGGATTAAAGCGTTGGTTCGGGCCTGTGATCTAGTTAATTAAATCATTCGTTCGGGATAATGGTCTAGTTGATTTAAGCGTCGGTTCGAGACTATAGCCAAGTGGATTAAAGGGTCGGTTAGAGATTATGGATTAGTGGATTAAAGCGTTGGTTCGGGACTATGGCCTAGTGCATTAAAGCATTCGTTCGGGAAAATGGTCTAGTGGATTAAAGAGTCGTTTTGTGACTATGGCCTAGTGGATTAAAGCATTAGTTCAGGACAATGGTCTAGTAGATTAAAGAGTCGTTTCGAGGCTATGACCTAGTGGATTAAAGCGTCGGTTCTAGACTATGTCCCTCTGGATTAAAGCATTAATTCGGGAAAATGGCCAAGTGGATTAAAGCGTTTGTTCGAGCCTGTGATCTCGTTAATTAAAGCATTCATTCCGGTTAATGGTTTAGTGGATTAAAGCGTCGGTTTGCGACTATGGCCAAGTGGATTAAAGGGTCGGTTCGAGACTATGAAACAATGAATTAAAGCATTTGTCCGGGAAAATGGTCCAGTGGATTAAAGCGTCGGTTGGAGGCTATGACCCAGTGGATTAAATCATTCGTTCCGGAAAATGGCCAAGTGGATTAAAGCGTTGGTTCGGGCCTGTGATCTCTTGAATTAAAAGATTAGTTCAGAACAATTATCTAGTGGATTAAAGCGTTAGTTTGAGACTATGGCCTAGTGGATTAAAGCGTTGTTACTTGAATTTGGTAACCTTATTGTGAATTCACTATCTGGGTCGGGCTCCTGTGTACTTGTACTCAGTAGACTATGGGCAGAGCCTTAATTGAACAGTACTAAAAATAATAACTAGACGTGATATCACTAGATTTAGACAGTGGAACGGAACAGTCTACTTTCTGTAAATCAAATAAATGGTTCAGTTCAGAATTCTGTGTAACTTACCCTGATCAATATACACCTTCGGGAAGACCGAAGTGAGGCACACTGGCCGAAATATTGTGACCGAAGTTGGGCACCCTGGCCGAAATGTTTTGATAAGAAAAACAAAGATGATGACAACAGTCCGTATATAAGCAGTGTAATAATAACACCTCATCCCAGAAATTTAGCTAAAACAAAGTTATGATACTTCTGGAAAAATTCCATGCACAAAAGAACTGTACGATTCTTTCAACAAATTGTCATAATTTTTGTCGCTTTTCACTTCGGGAAACATTCCTGCAGATATAGCACCGTCTTTGGGGTATCTTCCTGTGCTACCTGGAGGCAAATACCTCGGGAAATGACGTAACATCACGTTTTGTCAATTAGTCATTTCGAAGTCAAACCATGAATGAATAAAGGCTAGAGCTTTAGAAAAAAAATCCTTAATTTTTGATATCGTTAAACAATGATATCTGAATTCAGTGACTCTCAACCGCCGTACCGCGACACACTAGTGTGCAACGAAATATTGTCATGACATCTGCTTATCACACATTCGACTACACATTGAAACAATCGAGAAAAACATCAGATACAGCTTTCACACTAGAGAAGCTGCATAAATAATTGGATAGAAACATTGAAATAAACTAAGTTCATATTTGTGTGTGCATCGTGAAAAAAAAATCTATGGTTTTATTTCATAATATTCAAATGTAGACCATTTAAAATGTTTGCTAAGTGAGCCGTGTTATTTTCATTTGCTCATAGGCGTGCCTTTGCTTAAAATGTTTGAAAAACAATACCTTAAGTAACGATACACGCTGTTTAAAAATTAATATCTATTTTTACTGTTGAAGGTTTGGCCCGGTTTATCAATCTATCCCGACTTCACTAACGAAGACAGCGAAGCTTGGTTGGAAAGATGGATTAACTATATGGTTATCAACGAGTCACTCAAAGTGGATGGTCTTTGGATCGTAAGTAACTTTGTTCAAGAATCTCCTCTTTTAAACCATTTCTTTAAGGGACGAATGGCTTTGCTTTTGAACTATAGGACTGTTTAAATCCGGATCGGTACCGTTTATGTGCGTTGTGGTTTAATGGTTATCGGCTCGAAATGAGAAATTGAAGATCCGAGTTCGAGTTCCAGTCGGGTTCGTCACATTAACTTACACGTAAATACCGTTGCGAATTTATGAATCTATCGGTCCCAGACAGGATCCTGTCTACCACACACAAAAAAAAAAAAAGTAAGAAAAGCCAATACAAGAATTAATATTAATGAAAATAATAATAAAATGAAGTGTTCTGAAAATTTCTTGGCGCACGTAAGAAGCCCTTAAAAATATAATCTGATGTTCTTTACTTTGGTCAGATCTTGAAAATGCGGTCAATGGGTAATCAAGTTGGAAAATAAACATTAATTAATCGAGATTAATTAATTGAGATTAATTAATCGAGATTAAAATCAGCATGATAGTGAAATTCAAAATCATTTATTTGGAACCTCTGGAAGTAAGCATTATTTCGGAATTCGGAATGGAGGTTCAGTTCTATCTCTTTAATCCATGGTCCGGCAACTCTTATGGTCCGGTACTTGATTGAATTAGTTCATTGTGCAATTACAACTCTTTCTCTAACTTCTTGTATCCTGTTCTCGTTTTGTCTTTGTTTGTTTGTTTGTTTGTTTGTTTCTGTCCATTTTAATCTTACCTTACTTTTCTATCTTTATTTTTAGTTTTCTTTTTTTTGTCTTTCTTTTTTCTTTCTTTTTTCTTTCTTTCTCTTTGCGGAATTTATATGGTCATTTCAAGCATATATATATTTTATATTCTTTCTTTCTTTCTTTCTTTCTTTCTTTCTTTCTTTCTTTCTTTCTTTCTTTCTTTCTTACATCTCTTCCATTTTCCCATGTTCTTTCTCTCTTTCTTTCTTTCTTTCTTTCTTTCTTCTTAACGTGTTTATTTTTGCGACCTCACATCATTCCGTGTTTATTTACTTGCTTGATTTTTTTCTCTATTTCAAATTTTCGTCTCTCTCTTTTTACTTTTTCTTTCACGAGATTTTCGTGATTTTTTTTCTTTCTTTCTTTCTTTCTTTCTTTTCTTTTTTACTTTGAAATAAAAATTTTAAAAATCCCCCTTTTTAATTCTGTCTTAAAATTGCCCTTTTTTCTACTTTAGAAATAAAAATTTAAAATAAAAATCTGTTTGGCCTGCATTCGAGTCGAGATTAAAGTGAATGATGGTCCAAGCGTGTATCCCGTTTGGTTTGAATAGCAGGAAGACGCTAGTCATTTATCCGGAAAATAAACCGCTCATGAATTAAGCGTGTATCCCGTTTGGTTTGAATAGCAGGACAGAATTTCGGAATTGTAGTAAACAGGAAAATATTCTACATTGTCAGTCATGAATCGAAAGGGTTCGTTGTCTAACATGAAAAAACGGTTACCCTTACATACAAATGCCCTTGGGAAAATCTATTTATCCATCAAGCGTGTATCCCTTCTTTCTACCTTGGTTGGCAACCCACCTGAAAAAAACGGCTATGGGTTGAATATCATGAATCGGACACTTCTGGATCAGTGTGTCCTTGGTTGGAAATCTGAAAAAACCGGTCGGGAAAATACTACAGATGAATCGAAAGAGACAACCTACGTTTGGTTTGGAAAATGGATCCTAGCCTAGTTATTCATGAATCGAAAGAGACATGATGGTCCAAGCGTGTATCCCGTTTGGTTTGAATAGCAGGACAGACTGGATTCTATAGCCTTGGTTGGCAACCAGTCTAACACTGAAAAAACGGCTACCTCCTACGGGAAAATATTCTACATTGTCAGTCATGAATCGAAAGAGACATGATCGCCCAAGCGTGTATCCCGTTTGGTTTGAATAGCAGGACAGACTGGATTCTATAGCCTTGGTTGGCAACCGGTCTAACACTGAAAAAACGGCAACCTCCTACGGGAAAATATTCTACATTGTCAGTCATGAATCGAAAGAGACATGATCGCCCAAGCGTGTATCCCGTTTGGTTTGAATAGCAGGACAGACTGGATCCTATACCCATGGTTGGCAACCAGACTACGACAGAAAGAAACATCAATCTACTGCGGGAAAATATTCTGCCTAGTCAGTCATGAATCGAAAGAGATATGATTGCCACAGCGTGTATCACGTATAGATTGAATAGCAGGATAGACTGATATATGGTTGGTAACCAGTCCACGGTAAAAAGAAACGGTAACACACTGCAGGAAAATCTTCTGCCTAGTCAGTCATGGATCGAAAGAGATCGCCCAAGCGTCTATCATGTACGACATTAAACTGATTTCGATTTTACAGATCAGTTTGGAATCGGGCTATATTTTAAAAATCCACTTTCAGAGTAAGAAAACCTGGGGTTAATAATGTTCTCTCGAAATATCTAGTCAGGCAATTTGTCCTAAAATCGATATTTGATACACTTTCAAGTAGGAAAAAAGAATATACTTGCGAGATATCTCGTCAGCTGATTTGTCTTGGAATAGATATCTGATACGCTTCCAGAGTAAGAAACCCGTGGGGTTTAGAATATTCTCGCGAGATATCTCGTTAGCTAATTTGTCTTAAAATCGACGTCTGATACTTTTCCAGAGTAAAAAAAGAAACTGCTGGTTAAGAATATTTTCGCCAGTCGATTTGTCTTGAAATCGATATCTGATACACTTCCAGATTAAGAATATTCTCGCGAGAAAACCAAGGATAAACAATAATCCCTGGAAATATCTCGCCAGTCGATATCTTTTGAGTCGATATCTGATACACTTCCAGGGTAATTAAAGCAAAGATTATAAATCTGTTTTTGAGCTGTTTGGTTAACACGATGTTTCGAAATTTGTAGCAAGACATATGAAACGATTTCAATTTACTTATAATTTTAACTGGATTTTAATATCACAATCTTTTATTCATGTTTGTCCAAAAATAATTTTGAAGTGACCCCCCCACCTCCAACTGAAATCAGGAAAATAAGATTTAAAATAGAAATTTAATTTGGAAAAAAGCATAAATGTGAAAAATAAATATTTTCATACCAAAACATGAATTATAGTATTTATCAGTCCATTCACGAGGATAGAATGTGGCACAAGGCCGGTTTAATGTGGGTATCCCCGAGCCCGTAGGCTCGGCCAAAAATATAGCCATTTTGAACCCGCCTTGACGGGTTCAGGGCCTGTCTACCTCCCCGGACGAAACCTTGCCCTTCGGCAAAGCTTCGTCCGGGTTCCTCTCTGCAGAGAGTTCGACAGACGCCGACTCTGAAGCTCACAAAGGCAGCGTACTACACTTTGATCATAGCTCCCGGGCCGCTTGGGTATGGCAATAAACTAATACCCGTGTCCTGGGTAAGACGATAAACTACGTCCAACAGCAAGGCATCTGATCAGGAGGTTTTGAGGAGCGTTGAACCATCTCTTAATTGTTGGTGTTCCCGGGTTTACCCTGATCTGGCGTGGTAGCAACTGTTAGGTTCACTGCTATGGGCAAATAGTTAACCCATAATGAGGAAAGAGGGCTTAGAAAATTTGATACTCAGAGGACAGTCAAGAGGTACGGAAGAAAACAACGTATAACCTACCTAGAAGGCTTAATTAAATGGCTGGACGAACAAATAGGAGAGGAAACAAAAAAAAAAAAAGACATAATTTCTTGAGAGCTAGAATGGAAGGGACATTGTGGAGAGCTATGAATGTCAACGTCCTGAAGGGACACGGCACATAGAAGAGGAAGAACGTCTATAATATTGAATGTGAGCGGTTGATATTACGGTCTCTATTGCTTGTTTCTCCCCTGAGCTATTCTGCAAGACAATTTCATCGTATTTATTAGTAACTAGAAATAACTGACACTGCGTTAAAAAAACACTTTTCATCCTGTGCAAATTACATTTTGACAACTTCACAAACTGATTAATAAAGTTATTAATTTTGTTTTTAAATAAATAAAAATAATTGCATAATAATAATGGTAAAAAAAATAGAGTAACAGGAAAGGGAATTGAAAACAATAAGAGAGAGAGAGAGAGGGAGGGAGAGAGAGGAGGAAGAGAGAGAGAGGGAGGGAGAGAGAGGGGGTAAAAAAAAGAGAGAGAGGGGGAAAGGGAGAGAGGGAAGGAGAGAGAAAGAGAGAGAGGGAAAGAGAATGAGGGGAAGAGAGTGAGGGAAAGACACAGAGAAAGATTGTTAAAGAAAGAAAGAGAGAGAAAGAGAGAAAGGGAGATGGAAACAGAGAGTGAAAGATAGGAAGAGAGAAGAAAAGAGTGAGTGAAAGAGAGAGAGAGGGAAAGAGTGAGCGAATGAGAGTGAGAGAGCGAAAGAATGAGCGAAATAGAAAGAGAGAGAAAGAGAGTGAGGGAAGGACACAGAGAAAGAGTGTTAAAGAGAGAAAGAGAGGGAAAGAGAGAGAGGGAGATGGAAACAGAGAGTGAAAGATAGGAAGAGAGAAGGAGAGACAGAAGGAAAGAGTAAGCGAAAGAGAGAGAGAGAGAGAGAGGGAAAGAGTGAGCAAATGAGAGTGAGAGAGGGAAAGAATGAGCGAAAGAGAAAGAGAAAGAGAGTGAGGGAAGGGCACAGAGAAAGAGTGTTAAAGAGAGAAAGAGAGGGAAAGAGAGAGAGGGAGATGGAAACAGAGAGTGAAAGATAGGAAGAGAGAAGGAGAGAGAGAAGAAAAGAGTGATCGAAAGAGCGAGAGAGAGGGAAAGAGTGAGCAAATGAGAGTGAGAGAGGGAAAGAATGAGCGAAAGAGAAAGAGAAAGAGAGGGAAAGAGAGTGAGGGAAGGACAGAGAGAAAGAGTGTTAAAGAGAGAAAGAGAGGGAAAGAGAGAGAGGAAGATGGAAACAGAGAGGAAAGATAGGAAGAGAGAAGGAGAGACAGAAGGAAAGAGTAAGGAAAAAGAGAGAGAGAGAGAGAGAGGGAAAGAGGAGCAAATGAGAGTGAGAGAGGGGAAAGAATGAGCGAAAGAGAAAGAGAAAGAGAGGAAGGGAAGGGCACAGAGAAAGAGTGTCAAAGAGAGAATGAGATGGAAAGAGAGAGGGAAAGATAGGGAAGAGAGATGGGAGAGAGAAGGAAAGAGGAGCGAAAGAGAGAGAGAGGGAAAGAGAGCAAATGAGAGTGAGAAAGGGAAAGAGAGCAAATGAGAGAGAGGGAAAGAATGAGCGAAAGAGAAATAGAAAGAGAGTGAGGGAAGGGCACAGAGAAAGAGTGTCAAAGAGAGAAAGAGATGGAAAGAGAGAGGGAAAGATAGGAAGAGAGAAGGAGAGAGAGAAGGAAAGAGTGAGTGAAAGAGAGAGAGAGAGGGAAAGAGTGAGAAAATGAGAGTGAGAGAGGGAAAGAATGAGCGAAAGAGAAATAGAAAGAGAGTGAGGGAAGGGCACAGAGAAAGAGTGTCAAAGAGAGAAAGAGATGGAAAGAGAGAGGGAAAGATAGGAAGGTAGAAGGAAATAGAGAGAGAGGGAGAGGGGAAGGGAGTGAGGGGAAGAGGGTGAGGGAAAGACACATAGAAAGACAGAGTGTTAAAGAGAGAAAGAGAAAGAAAGAGAGAAAGGGAGATGGAAAGAAAGAGTGAAAGATAGGAAGAGAGAAGGATAGAGAGTGAGAGTGGAAAAGAGTGAGCGAAAGAGGGAGAGAGAGAGGGAAAGAGTTAGCGAAAGAGGGAGAGAGAGAGAGGGAAAGCGTGAGCGAAAGAGGAAGAGGAGGAAAGAAAGAGGTAAAGAGAGCAAGAGAAAGGGAAAGAGAGAGGTAAAGAGAGAAAGGGAAAGAAAGAGAAAGTGAAAAGGAAAGAGAGAGGGAAAAGAGAGAGAGAGAGAGAGAGAGGGGGACGAGAGAAGTGGGGCAGAGATAATATAGAAAATTAAAGTCAAAATTAAAAATTAATTTTAAAATATAATTCTAAAAAATGCCGGTATAAATTCTGTCAAAAAGACACATTGACTCACTCACTTCACGAATCAGGTTTTAACATTGGAAATATAATTAAAATAGCCTCAGATATTCTTCAATTCTATTTAAGATTCGGTAATAAAGGAAATGTGCTGGAAAACGGTACTAGGCAATAAAAGACCGAGAAAAAAAGTTTTGCCGAAGGTATTTTGGCAATAACCTCTTGACCTATGACCACACGCAGGTCACGTCTCGGTTTTTGTTTCCCCTTGCTGATTTCACAAAATCAAAATAAAAAATAAAATAAAAATAGCAACTCAATTTAAGGCCGAATCAATTAAAATTAACAAAAATAAATTCTTAATTGATTCTGTTAAAATTTATGCCGGGAATAATAAGAGTTAGGTTACGTTTAAAGGTATGTCCTCTACACATGCACTTGATCGTTAGCAATTTGACTGAAGATTACGAACATATAGAAAATAGTTAAGGTTGTATTTTATGTATCCTGCGACAGCAAAGAAAGCGCTTATAAAAGAGAGACATAAAAATCTCTATTTTACTTAGGGGTGCGATGAAAAATCCTCGTCCCAATCAAGAACCATTTTCAAAAGGTATATCTCTGATGTATAATTATTTGGTCAGATTTGAGGAAGATGATTAGGCTGACAAATTTTCAGGAGGCCTTTTAAAACAAAACTGTTAGCTTGTTAATTAATCGTCTGGGAGAACCCTTGGCGCCGTTTATCAACATAGTTAAGGCTAACCTCTAGAGGAGTGACTCGGTGATCCTTCTCTGGTTAACAGCTTCCACTGAGATGAAGTGGAAAATTATATCGTATCATCTGCAACGTCTGCTGCCATGATGGGTGGTTCGCTGTATCGTGATAGACACTTTTTCTAGCCAGAATCTATCATACATATTTATAATTTTACCATTCGTCCAAGCTTATGATATTGCTGCCACATATGGTCTGGTTCACTTGCTACATATTTAGAGGTCCTTGATAAAATCCAAAGAAGGATATGCAATGTTATTTTTCCTGACCTGGCATCTCTGCTTCAGTCATAGCATGTCGAAGTATCTGAAATGATTTTCTAAGCTTAACTCAGATGTGGTACAAGTCCGGAATGATGGGACACACAGTGAGGATCGGATTTACTGTTCAGTCGTAATTGGTCTAGCGGGACAGGATTGTAAGCCATTACAGCATGACGAAGTATCTGTAATGATTTTCTAAGTATAACTTAGATATGGTACAAGGGCGAACGTATGGGACACCTAGTGAGGAACGAACTATTCAACTGTAATTGATCTAGCGAGACACGTTTGCTAACCATTACAGCACGTCAAAGTACCTCAAATGATTTTCTAAGCATAGTTTAGATGTGGTACAAAGCCAAAAGTATGGGGTACTCAGTGCAGATCAGATTCACTATTCAGTCGTAACTGATCTAGCGGGAAGGACTTGTAAACCATTATAACATGTCAAAGTACCTCAAATGATTTTCTAAGCATAGTTTAGATGTGGTACAAGGCCAAAAGTATGGGGTACCCAGTGCAGATCAGATTCACTATTCAGTCGTAACTGATCTAGCGGGAAGGACTTGTAAACCATTATAACATGTCAAAGTACCTCAAATGATTTTCTAAGCATAGTTTAGATGTGGTACAAGGCCAAAAGTATGGGGTACCCAGTGCAGATCAGATTCACTATTCAGTCGTAACTGATCTAGCGGGAAAGACTTGTAAACCGTTATAACATGTCAAAGTACCTCAAATGATTTTCTAAGCATAGTTTAGATGTGGTACAAGGCCAAAAGTATGGGGTACCCAGTGCAGATCAGATTCACTATTCAGTCGTAACTGATCTAGCGGGAAGGACTTGTAAACCATTATAACATGTCAAAGTACCTCAAATGATTTTCTAAGCATAGTTTAGATGTGGTACAAGGCCAAAAGTATGGGGTACCCAGTGCAGATCAGATTCACTATTCAGTCGTAACTGATCTAGCGGGAAGGACTTGTAAACCATTATAACATGTCAAAGTACCTCCTCAAATGACTTTTCTAAGCATAGTTTAGATGTGGTAACAAGGCCAAAAGTATGGGGTACCCAGTGCAGATCAGATTCACTACTCAGTCGTAACTGATCTAGCGGGAAAGTCTTGTAAACCATTATAACATGTCAAAGTACATGAAATGATTTTCTAAACGTAACTTAGTTGTGGTACAAAGCCGAAATTATGATTTAATCATAAAATGCCCATATCTTTTTAAGTCCTAATTGTTTAAATAATTCAAGTGCATATTTAAACTGTTATTTTTAGATGAGCAGTTCTGGAGATTTGCTTTTCCTGAATTTTTTTTCTCGGAAATTCATTGGACTCTTGTTGAAATGGATGTTACAAATGACAGTCAGGTGTAACATGAATCTATTTAAAAATAACAAGTGGATTTGTGGGGTCATAAAACATAATGTCCTTTACGCATGCACTTGATCGTTAGAACCTTGACTGGATATTGCGAACAGACAGAAAATAGTTAAGGCTGCATTTTTATACATAATTCGATAAGCAAAGATAAGGATTATTAAACAGATATGTAAAAAAAAAAAAAACAACGTGCAGTAACGGGTAGCGGCTCGGATTGAGGAATCGGAGAGCCGAGTTCGAATTCCAATCGAACCCATTACATTCACTTACGTGCTAATACCCTTGAGAAAGGCATGAATCCTCTTCTTCCCACAGCTATGGGTAAATAGCAGAATAGACCGAGCTCTATAGCCTTGGATGGAAACTGGTCTACTGCAGAAAGAAATGGTAACTTACTGCAGGAAAAAAATCTGCCTCGTCAGTCATCTATTGAAAGATGCATAAGCGCGTATCACGCATGACACATAACTGACTGACTGAGGGTCGCGATGAAGCATTCTCGTCCCAATCAAAAAACCTTTGCAAAAGTGAAAATCTCGCAGATGTTTAATTATTTGGTCAGATTTGAGGAAGTTGGTTAGGCTGACAACTTTTCACTGCTAATTATGACAACTAGCTATGGTTTAATCAGTAAGTCTTTTATCCCAATTATTATGATCTCAAAAATGTCTTACAATCTAAAAATATTTTCTGGCTTTAAATAATCTGCAAAGGGTTGATAAGCCGTAGAAAATGAATGAATCAATCACGAGGCGAGTGTTACCCAATGAGGATCGAGATAACATGAGCAGTGAATTTACTTTGTAAATTCTAGCGAGTATGTTACATTTAGCCGCCTATAGATCTATGGCTGCATCGCTAAGGCTCTCTGTACCGTTCCGGCAAGTACTTGACTCCCCCATGCTATCCTCTATATTTATAAGGGCCAGACCAGGCTGAAAATGGAGAACTGTTGCCATATTTGGGCGAGAGGTATCTGATCCTTGCTTTCCGGTCTTGATAGGGTTCAAAAGCGACTTCGAGTCCGTGTTAGTGAATATTTTTCCATCCTCTAAATTCTCTCGCACAGGCGGGATGTGGCAAGACTCTTAGTGTTCTATCGCTAATTCCATGGAAAGAGCTGGGATGAACTACATTCCTTGGTTCCGCCATGCCACTTACATAGTAGGAAACCATCCACACAACCCCGTATTCCATCGAAGAGAAGTAATTTCTACTCAAACAGCTTCTTCCCGCGAACTACTATTCCGTGGAACAGAGTCCCATGAGGATGTTTCCTCGATCACTACAATCGTAACCTGTCTAGAGTTAACAGTTATCTTCCTCTCCCATCCATATAAACTACTCCTTAAAGTAATCCTCTAATTCGAGTGGCTCCTGGGCCTTGTACAGCTGAAAAATTTTTTTTTTCTTATGTTTTACAAAAAGAAATATTTTGGTTTCTTGCAGATTTTTAGTCTAACCAATCATAGCGTAGTTATTTTCTAAATCAAACAGTTTTTTCTGTGATGAGCTGGCCTTAGAAACCCATCAACGAACACAAAATTACTATCACATAGCACTAGCCAATTAGTTTATCGAGCAGTTATCTTTCTTTGATCTCCACCAATCGATTATTATATATAGAACACCTCAACGCTATTTCAAATCTCGGTTTTTCAACATAAACTCCTACGCGACGTGATAAGCTACATTTTGACCTACATGTGAACTCATTCACCTATACCTGCTCAGTCATCATAACAAATCAATAAAATGTTTTGGAACTATTTTAACAGATTTTCAATTAGCAAAAGGAAACTTATTTGTTATATTTTTACGTGAGCAAAGATAAATTGCCTTCGCATATCTTTTGCAAATGAAATCTTATTTGCTACCAATGTTTTGTAATTGTTTGCTTAGAAAAATATAGAGTAAAAACGGCGTACAGTAGAAATAGATTTATCAGAATTTGGCATCCAAAGTCTTTATAGGAACAGAATAGAACAAGTTTCGTTAAAAAACGGCTGACGGAATACAAAGTTAAAAGCATTTCTCAGTTTTATATGGTGTTCTCACTTATGGAAAAATTACATAGCGTTTTCAATTATAGAAAAAATCAGTATTTGCCATGTTATTGACTTAAGATGTGTTGATTTTTAAATAGTCACACAGAAACGTTGCAATGGCTTCGATTTTTATTTTAAATGAAAAATCCTGCAAAATTGTACGGCCTCACCTTTTCACGTTGCTATGACTACAGTCACATGCAGATATTCGTTTACCGTAAGGGCTATTGACGAGGGAAAATGTAATCTCTGTGCTGAGTTCAAATTCTGATGATTCCAAATTTGTTTACTTCGCGATAATACCACTGGAAAAGGCACTGATCCATTCTTCTCCACTGATGGTTTAACAAAATACAGGCTTGTAGAATAGGATAGTAACAATTATATATTCAAAACCATTCTAAATAGGAATAGACTCCTTTAGGATACTTTGTTCTAGACACACCCATTGCAGTTATAGATGCAGAACATATGGTTATCCTACAGCATTAATCATGTACTATAATATATATATATATATATATA